ACGGAATATCGTATTTGTCCGAGAGCAAGGCCACAAAATAATAATAATAGCAAAAAAGAAAGAGGCACTTTTTTGTCTAGGCAATCACATATCCCTGCAACAGCCATCGCAAGATCATAAGATCCGCAGACGGATTAAAAACAGCACTCCGCCTTGTCAGCTTGCAATATCTTGCCTCCCACTTCAGCATTAAAGGTTTTACATTTATAATGGCCTAATTGTCAATTCCATTCTAAAAGCGCACGGATACTTCTCGGATGCGTCCATGTTTCCTTTGTCCGCGCTTTTTTCCCCCCTCTGCGCGCAGCTTACGGGTGTGTTTCCTTGCCACTGGTGCTGCATATTTCGCCGTGCGCGCACTCTCTCTCTCTTTCTCTCTCAGTTCCAAGCCACCCCTCCCATTCGTTCTCCTTTTCCTCCTCGTCTTCATAGCTCAGTTCGATGGTGTTGGTGCGGCACACCGGGGGAGGGGCTGCCTACTCAAATATAATGCATTCTGATATTCCAAACCTTGTAAGAAATTATAACAGCATGATGGAAGCAGCCAAAAAGCAACAGCTATATTTATTAATGCCTTCAAATTTGGAGGAAAAAAAGCTACACGTTAATTAGAAAGCGAGCATTTGGGATGCATTATCTTTATCTGAACTAGGCCAGTGCGTTTTAAGCTTTGATTCACTTTAGGAGTCACGGATGAGGAAAAACACTCAAAATGAAATGCGTTCCCAGTGCTTTTCTGTAAGAGATTGGATTCTGCTGTATCTATAAATGGCTGTGATATTACACTAACAAATGCAAAGTGTAAAAATTTTTAAAATAGTAAAAGTCGTAAAAAGCTGTTAATTGGATACCTTGCTATGTAGTAAACAAAACTGTATTTAAAAACGAATATTGCAAAACAAAAAAAGTCATAATGTTGATAATGTTTTGAAATACAAAATACTTTAATTCTTTATTGGTCACAGAACGGCTATATTCATTAAAATCTATAATTATCATTGCCCCAGAACGCGCATTTAATATTGCAAAACAAAAAAAGTCATAATGTTGATAATGTTTTGAAATACAAAATACTTTTATTGGTCACAGAACGGCTATATTCATTAAAATCTATAATTATCATTGCCCCAGAACGCGCATTTCTCTTTCCGCCTATCTCTCCCCGTCTGTGGCTTTGACTTCAGACAGACCAGGTCATTCGGGCGTGCGCGCCTGGGGCGCGATCTCTGTGCATCCGTCAAAATGCACCACAGTGAGGGAGCGTGTCACTCTGAAACCGATGACAAACTAAGCCAGGGCAGACTGTCAGCGTAAACCCGTCGCATTAGAATCGCCTCATGTCATCACCATATAAGAATAAAATAGAATAAAGTCTTCATTCAGATGAGAATTTGTAATTCAAATATTTGTATTTTTATATTATTGTTGTTGTTTTAACGTTAACTAGACATTTTGTGCTACAGATTTTAATAATAACATGGGCCTATCATATGTCAAAGTTCATTACAATAGGAACTGTAACTTGTATGTATGGGGTCACTAGAACACAGAACAGCAGGTGGCAATCAAGTCTTTGTTCTATGCTGGTCTGTACTATTATACTATTATAGTTATTTTTTTATATTTTCAATCAGTTTTTATTTTTGTATTTTCCATTTTCATTTTAAAGTTGTAGTAATATATATATGTATGTATGTATGTATATAGTATATAGTATACAGTATATAGTTTATTTTATGTATTTTCTTTGACATTTTTTATCATTTTCTTTCAGTTGATGTTTACCCCTTCTACACTGGGCTGAATATATGCAGTATACGTGAAACATTAGGCAGTGCTTGTGCATTGTTTTCATAATATGATTGTTTTGATCATTTTTGGAAACCACTGTGAGTGATACCAGATGTTTTACAGGACAAAACACTCTGTCAGTGGATATGGAAAAGCAGTCTTGCAATAAATATCAAGTCTTTTAACAATGAAAGGCTTGACAGGCTTGGTCTTATAAGCCCTTGTTCTATTAGGTCTACACTTCAGGAAATGTAAAGGCACAACCAGGCCTATCATCTGCATGTGAATGTACTTTCACTGTCAGTGTGCAATAGCAAGACTGTCTTGACATTAACAGAAGTGAGTTATAGCTTTGGGGAACTGAGTGTGTTGAGTTGTGAGAAAAAACTGAGAAAGCGATGAATATAATACTGGCAACTGACAACCCCAAATTTGAATATAACAGTCCAAAATTCAAATTCTCACATATTTCTACACAATTTAGAGTTAATGTTGTCCCTTTGTGATGATCAGACTACAATTGCACAATAGTGAAACAGATTAAGATGTAAATGGCTCTCCTTTGAAAATAGCAGATGAACACACTTAAAAATAATAATAATAATAAGAATAATAAATAAATATACAGCTAAACCTTCTCCCTACATTCTTAAATGACACCATTTAGCATTTGAAAGATATTAGTATCTTGAGCTTTGACTTGTGAACTTTGACAGGGCAGAAACCCATTACAAGTGGTACTCCTCCTCCCCTGACCCTACTTACATAAGTGTGCCAGATTTTAAAAGAGATGCACCCATCTGAGAGACACCACACAGACAGCCTGCACCAACAGTGCCCTCAGCAAGGGCATCCAGAGTCACACCACCCACCGCAGAGTGCACTAAAAACCTCTCTTCCTCTGTCGTTCACATTCTCTCTCTCTTTCCCACTCCCTTTACATGCATATCTTCTCTCATTCTTTCTCTCAGCTCTGCCAGTTGTGGCCTATATTTGGTGTTGGTCATGTAGGTCATGATAACCGAATGGTAAAATTAGAGATGTATATTCCTTTGCACCACTGAATGATGGATATTTTTGGCTATGAACCAACTCTGACACTTTTTTTCCCCTCAGAATGATGATATAGTCTCTTCTCACAGATCCACAGTATTTTGGTCTAATATTCCAACTATCTACAATATATAGACAGTAAATAATACAGAAATATATACAAAAAATATTTTAATGGGTTTTAATTGGTCTTTTTGACTTGTTTCTAAAAAATTATCAAGTAGTAACACTCTATATTGAGGAGATATATATATATAGTATATATATATATATATATATATATATATATATATATATATATATATATATATCTATACAGTTATACAGTTTCTATAGTATTATAGTATAAATTATAAATATATTTTTCAGAGAACATACACTACTGTTCAAAATTTTAAGGTTGGGAACATTTTTTTAATGCTTTTTAGTAAATGTCTTATGCTCACCAAGGCTGCAATTGTTTGATACAGTAAAAACAGTAACATTGTGATTGTGTGATTAATTGCAATTTAAAATAACCATATATTTTATAGTATATTTTATAATGTAATTTATTCCTGTAATGACAAAGCTAAATTTTCAGCAGTCATTACATCAGTCTTCTGTGTCACATGATCCTTCAGAAATCATTATAATATGCTGATTTGCTGCTCAAGAAATATTTCTTATTATTATCAATGGTACAGTTATACAGTTTCTATAGTATATATTATAAAATTATAAATATATTTTTCAGAGAACATACACTACTGTTCAAAATTTTAAGGTTGGGAACATTTTTTTAATGCTTTTTAGTAAATGTCTTATGCTCACCAAGGCTGCAATTGTTTGATACAGTAAAAACAGTAACATTGTGATTGTGTGATTAATTGCAATTTAAAATAACCATATATTTTATAGTATATTTTATAATGTAATTTATTCCTGTAATGACAAAGCTAAATTTTCAGCAGTCATTACATCAGTCTTCTGTGTCACATGATCCTTCAGAAATCATTATAATATGCTGATTTGCTGCTCAAGAAATATTTCTTATTATTATCAATGGTGAAAGCAGTTGTGCTGCTTAATATTTTTGTTTAAACAATGATACTTTTTTCATGATTCTTTGACTATTAGAGAGTTCAGAAGAACAGAATTAATTTGAAACAGAACAATTATAAATGTCTTTACCGTCACATCTGATCACTGTAATGTATCCTTACATAATAAAAGTATACATTTGTTAAAAAAAAAGTGTCTTGCACTGGATGACTTTTATATAAGTACAAACAAGTTGCAAATGAAACAATCTACCAGTATAGTGAGAAAAAATCAAAACACACTAAAGATACAAGCTACGAAAATCTTGTTTCTCAAGTAAATGTATCTTGTTTTAAAACAGTGCTAGAAAGTGTATGTGAGGAGACAAAATGTAATAGGACTGTAGACAAAGCATCATGGGAGCAGAAGGCAGGTTGTGTGTAACACAAAGTGACAGTAAAAAATAGAGAAAGAGGGTATCTGAAATGACTGTGAGCAGAGTATGGTTGAGAAGGATGGTGTAAGACCCCTACTGGCTGAGGTATGAAATACACACTTCATAGTAAGGCTCTCACACATCTCTGGAAGCCATCACCAGCACTGTGGCCAACAGAGGGCACTAGCAAACCATCCACAGCCTCTCTCTGTCTGCATTCAGTTCAGCTTGACTCATTCTGCCACCTGCAGCCCTCTGCAGAGATGACCCACCCTTCCTCTCACTGATACACTGCAGGGAACCATCAACTGTTCTTTCTATTGCCAGGCCCAACAACCAGAGAGAGGCAACTGTACAGAATGGTTATGCAAACCAGCATGCATATGCAAAACAGCAAATAAACGATGATATAAACCAATAATATATGTTATAGCAGCATAAAGTTGTGTCTAAAATGCTTTGCTGAATGCATTAGCATTGCATTTGTACAATACTGACAGGCTAATGGATCGCTATAAAGCTACAAAATACATTATTTTGAATGCTCTGACATTTTTAGTGAAAGAGATTCTGCAGAATCCTTGTTGATAACCTTGTAAACAAGAAATTATGCAGATGCACATCCTCTCAAATTTGAGCTTTAGGGAATTTAGAGAACCTGCGGAGACAAATGGGGAATTTGTGAAACATTTGTCATTCATGGCAATCTGTTTGATCTGCTCTGAAAGAGTGATGGCTCTCCATTATCAGACACTGTGATAAGAAGTGGGTGAGTTTTTAAGTCATTGTCACTCATTCGTCTCTTTGTCTTTATTTCTCCAGTGCTGCTTCCAATGCGGAAGAGATTCGTTCCTTTGGGTTCAGTTAGATGATAAGACAGAAGTGCATTATATCCAGAGTCAGCATCAGCAGCTCTGATCTTGGCTACAAAGTATCCCGCTTCAGCAGAGTAGGGAATGTTCTCACTATTAACTGATCCAGGTTCAGAATAAGGTGGTAAAATAGCCGGACTGTTGTCATTCTCATCCAGAATAAACACATTTACAGTGGCATTACTGCTCAGAGGAGGAACACCGGAGTCTGTTGCCCGAACATGGAAACTAAGGATTTTCTGTTCTTCAAAATTGAAAGACTGTAGGTTATACAACTGGCCTGTCAATGAGTTAACACTAACAGCATTTATGCTTGTTGTTTTGTTATCCAAAATGGAATAAGAAATTTCAGCATTTTCATTCGAATCTCTGTCAATTGCTGACATCGTGTGAATGAGGGTTCCTAGGGGAGTGTTTTCTTTTACATAGACAGAAATTATTTTTTCGTTAAATTGTGGAGGATTGTCATTCACATCTGAAATGTCAACATAAACTACACTGGTGCTGGAAAGTGGTGGGGTTCCTTCATCTACTGCTAAGAGGGTTACATTATACTTGGACATGTTTTCCCTGTCAAGCTGGCCTTCCAAAACAACAGAGTAATAATTATTGTAGGAAGACTCGAGTTTGAAAGGTACATTTCCGAGCAGCTTACAACTCACTTTTCCATTCATTGCACCATCCTTATCCGAAACTGTGACCAGAGCCACAGCAGTGCCAGTTTTTGCATCTTCCCTTAAAGAAGACAGCAATGATGTTATTACTATTTCTGGTGCATTATCATTAACATCTATGACTTCAATTAGTACTTTACAATTAGTTGTCATGGGAGGAGAAGCTTTATCATGGGCCTCCACTCTAAGTTCATAAAAAGCTTTGACCTCAAAATCAATGTTTCCTTTAACTTCAATCTCCCCAGAATCAGAACTGATAGAAAACACATCAAGGAGTTAAAAATGTAGTGAACCACATTTTAATATAGTTTTTAAAAGTATACTAGAAGTAGGCTACTTTGGTAATAAATATATGCTTTGTTGAGCTTTTAAGAAATATTCTAAAATACAAGAATACTTTTGTGAAATTTTAGTATATTTACGGAAAACATACTTATTTTACTCTTAAAATATATGTTATGTTTACTTTGTGTAAGAACATAGTAAAATGATTCAGCTTTTAGTGGGTTTAAAGTGTGTAATTTATAACCACATGTAGACCTACAATATATTTAAAATATTCAATGAACATATGCTTCAGCCTGCTTTTCAAAACATTATTTACATTTTAATAGATTTTATAAAGTATGTGAATTCACTCACACATAAATAGCTTATAGCTATAAATAAGCATATGTATTCTTACATTGTACCAACTTATAATATAAATATAATTTTGTCAACTATGCCTTAGTAATAAGCATACTTAAAAATGTTGTTCGGTTTTACTTGTTTGTACTCGTAAAAGAATACTAGGCTGTTTTGTAATACAATTCAAATACATTTTAATTTCACTTTTATATAGGCCTACATATCATTACTTGTAATACGCTCATATTTAACTGTATTTTCCACAAGCATTTCAACATCATTCGAAGTGCATCATCAATAATTTTTCTAAAGATATGCTTAAAATCCCTATTTACTTGATTATGTACCTAAAATTAAAACAAGCTCAACCTACCACATGACGCACGAAAAAACAAACCTCATTCGCTCAATTGGCCTTTGTGAAAGCTCAGGGCTGCGTTCAGCCCCGACAAAACATTGCGCACCAGTTTGAGCTTGAACTTGCCCAGGCGTTCTTGCTTAACACGTGTTACAAAACCTGATTGGTTCTCGAGCCCCCGTCGATGGATGTGAATAAAAGTCTAAATTAAAACTGTTAAGTCATATAGAGCGGACATGGAAGAAACCACTCGATTCATATGGATTACTTTTGCATGTCTGAAGTCATGAAACGGGAATAATTTTGGTGACTTTCAGCGGGACATACATCTATCAAATTTCCTTAAAATACATCAGTTTTTGTTTCGAAGATGGACAAAAGTCTTAAAGGGTTTGGAACAACATGAAGGTGAGTAATTGATTACAGAATATATATATATATATATATATATATATATATATATATATATAATTATAATGCATATATATGCAAATTGCAATGCATATGCTATTCAAAAACACCACTCAAAACCACTGATTAATTATTTTTCCTTTCACAGACCCTGTGATGAACCACAGTGTCAGAATTACTACATGCCATCAGATGCAGAAAATCCAACAAGTCATACTCAAAGAAAAGTGACCCTGCACTTGAAGATGAAGATGGTGACATTTCAAATGTTCAGTTTCTTTGTTTGGTTCAGCCATTTGCAGGCTTAACTTTGTAAATAATAATAATAATAATAATAATAATAATAATAATAATAAATAAATAAA